GGGGGGATGATGATATGCATTGTAGCCTCTCAGGCTTTCAAGGGAGATGCCGGCAAATCAGAGCAAGCGTTGCTTGCTCTGCGGACGCCATGGACACAACCTGCGGACTTGTGGTTTGCCAGGCGCCTCTGTGTTTCGCAAGCTGCGGGCACAGCAGTCGTCCAAGCGTGAGCGCAAAAGTCGGGTGCTGCGGGGCATGGGAGCTGCTGCATCGAGGAAACGAGAACCACGGATGAAAAAGCAGTGGCTCAAGCCTGCTCAGAGGAAGCAGTATAGTGGATCCTTCCAGAAACCAAGCCGTGCTTCTAGCGGACATCGTCACTGGCGTGGCCCCAGTTCAACCGGACAGACTCCTGAATCCGCTCTTCAGGAGCTGATTCAAGCGGGCTACGTGCAGATCCCAGATCTCTGTCCGACTTGCCACTTCACTACAGTGCTTTGGAAGGTCCTTTCGCGAGCAAGGATGTGCAGCAGCCTGGGCATCTGCATGTGCGCGGCAAAGACTGGGATTGCAGAGCACGCTTCAATGTTATGCGTTTCTGTCCGCTGCTGGAGAACATTGGTCGTCCTTTGTCGGTCTAGGTCTGTGCTTGGCAAGAAAGGGATGTTGAGTGCAATGCGCGTATTCCCTCTTGCATGGCTGCGCATGCAGCTGCTTCGCTTTCAGCATCGCCAACCTGTCAGCCTAACCTCTAAAATCCTACTTGGAGGTTCATGGGACTTAGTAAGTTATAAGTAGCTTTACTGGGGATATAAACAATTCTACGTCTAGTTACCTGACTTATAGCTCCAATTACTAAGTCCCATGAACCTCTAAGTTAACCCTGAAGCTTGAACCCTCGAACCTTAATCCCTAAACCTTCACACATGCAAAATCCCTGGGGCGCATAGCCTTCTCGGACACAGTTTAGCTCGAAGCTAGCCAACTACTACAACTACTACTAGTACTAGTAGTAGTAGTAGTAGTAGTAGTAGTAGTGGTAGTAGTAGTAGTAGTAGTAGTAGTAGCAGTAGCAGTAGCAGTAGTAGTAGTAGTAGTAGTAGTCAACCCGTTGCCTCGTATGCACCAGGCTCCTGCTCGTGGCCTGCGCATCTTCTGTTGGAATGCAGGTGGCCTTGGAGGTGGATTGTACCCTGAATTGCTCACTTTCCTGCACAACTCTCAATATGATGTTGCTGTGATCCTTGAAAGTAAGTGGCAGGAGAATATGGAATTCACCACTGATCAGTGGTCGTGTGTGCACTCCGGGTGCAAAACCCGGAAACAGGCCGGGGTTCTTATACTGATACATCATAGGATAGCACCTCCCTCCCAACTGCGATTCGAACACATTCTACAAGGTCGTCTGTTGCACGTACGAGTGCCTCTGCCAGGCAAGGATTCGAGGCATGTACACATTGTTGGGATCTACCAGAAAGCCTTCGATCCCAAGGCCTCCACCACCGAGCAAAGACAGCAAGTATGGTTGGCTTTGGACCGATGTCTTGCCCGCATCCCAGCTCGGGACTCCTTGGCCCTCATGGGCGACTTTAACACCCCACTTGAACCGCGAACACCACACGTAGGTGCCCACACAAATCCGATGCCGTGCCATCCACCAGAGGACATGGCTGACTTTTCAGCCCTTCTTGTCACATACGACCTTTTTGCCTTAAATACTTGGAGCAGACCTGCTGACAAGAAGCTGCCCTCCACCTTCAAATTTCAGGATGCTGAGTCTCAGATTGACTTCATTCTAACCCGAAGGGCGGATGCCACTGCTCAGGCTCGTCGGGCTCGAGCTTGGCGGAATTTCCATGTGGGAGCCTCGAGACACAGTGGGGCCATTCACTTTCCATTGCAAGCTTTACTGGCTCTTCGCTGTCCTCACTGGGTGAGACAGCCAACCCAGGCTAGGCCGTGCATAGATCGTGAAACCCTCCTTGCTGCACTGGACCAGCCAACAGACCCGCAACATCTTACTCAGATTGCCTCTGTTCGACAGGCGATGGCCCACCACATGGCCACCACTCCTGGCATTCAGGGCGTGAGCACCTTACATCACGCCTTGTTTCGCGTGTGCGCTGACAATTTTCCGGCACAGAAGCAACACCGTGCTCTCAACCCTTGGCAAACCCCAGAGGTACAGCAAGGGATCAAAACCATGTGGGAGCAATGGCGTGCCTTCAAAAAGATTCGTAAAAATGGCCTACGAGGCTGGTTCGCAGCCTGGAAAGCCTGGAAGTCCTTCGATCGACACTACCGAGCTCACCAGTTGCGATGCCGCCAGGCCCGACGTGCCAAGTTACTTCATGCCATGGACGATGCCCAGGATTGTGCACGTCGCCATGATTCGCGAGGCCTCTACCAAATCGTCAAGCGAATTGCACCCAAGCAGCCGTTCAAGCGGCTCCAGCTCCGGGACTCAAAGGGACTCATGCTAACATCGTCGGCAGAGGTGGACATGCTACAGACCCACTTTCAAGAGAGATTCCAAGCTGCCCCGCAGGACCCTGCCTTCGCCATCAACCTTGCAGGCCCCTGGACACTGCAGCAGCCCCTGCCGCTTGATGCCACCACCTTGTGTGGTGCCATCCAAACCGTGCCACGCAGGAAAGCAGTACCGGCTCAACACCCTCCTAGTGCCGCCTGGCGCTTATGTGCAGACATGATTGCCCCGTGGATATGTGACACACTTGCCCAAGCCTGGACCGAGCAACCCATCACTGTGCCACCCTGCTGGTCAGACGTTGATCTTGCACTGATTTTGAAACCAGACAAATCAGGTAGCAAGCCAGGCGACTATAGGCCGATTGCCTCTTGGTAAGAAAATTCTGCGTTGCATCCTTGAGCCTCACCTCGATCATATTCTTCAGCAGATCCGTCGCTACCCTCAATTCGCCTATCAACAGGGCAGGTCGCAATATGATGCACTCAGGAAAGTTTTTGCCCATTGCGCATCTGTTCGCACGGCACTCAGCAAGCATCACAGGAACTTGCATCATCAGCATGCAGGATCCAAGTCCACCCCATTGTTTGGCAGTCTCATGATCACGGTGGACCTCTCCCAGGCATTCGACAAGATGCCAAGAGAACTGCTTCACCAGGGAATGGTGGATCTGCAACTGCCAGCCGACCTGATTGCTATTATCATGGCATGGCATGCGCATATCCACTACACCATCCACCACTCTGGTGAAAGTCGCTCCTTTGCTGCCACCCAAGGCATTCGCCAAGGCTGCTCTGCCTCCCCACTCTTGTGGCTCATCTTCTCACACGCCATTAGCAGCAGGCTGGAAGGCTATCTCAACTACGAGCGCCTCTGTGCCATGCTTACCATTTTCGCTGATGACTACCACATGGCGGGCACCCTTACGACCCTCTACGAGTTTGAACAACTACTCAGTTGTATCACAGCTCTTTTTAAGGTGCTCAAAGCCTTTGGCATGGCTGTGAGCGATGCCAAATCACAGGCCATCCTGGCCCTCAGGGGGACTCAGAGCTCCACTATCCGTCGCAAGTATGTCTGCAAAGGCGCTGATGGCCCCATCCTTCGCATCCCACTCTTAAGTGGCAGCCTCAAAATACCAATGGTGCAACAGTTCAAGTACTTAGGCACACAAGTGAATTACAATGCTTTTGAGAATGCAACCCTCGAATTCAGGTTGCAGAAAGGCGATGCTGTTTATCGCCGACTCAGCACTGTCCTGAGGGGGAAGCACTACTTGAGTAGCGTGCAGAGGCTGCACTTGTGGCGAGCATGCATCTGGACGACCATCTCCTACGGATTGGTCACCTGCGGCATTACCCCAGCCGGGCACAAGCTGTTGGAAACCAAAATCGTGCGGCAGATACGAGCCATTCTCAGGCTACCTGCACATCTGACGTTTACGACAAACGCTGACGTTATGCAGCAGGCTGGGTTGCAACTACCTGGTCCTATGCTTGAGATGTTGATGACCCGCGAAGGCAACCGGAAGCACCAGAGTGCAGACGTGCATGTCTGCCATCCTTCCAGTGTGTGGTGGCGTGTTGTCTATGAGAGCCTCAATGCCCCGCCTGAATCCTCACAGCTGCAAGTGATGCCCACACACTCAACACCCCAACCCTGCCCTGAATGTGGTGTCTTCTACAATAGCAGAGCTACGCTTCTCACCCATATAGCCAAGTGTCACCCTGACACGGTTGCGAAAGCCCCCCCTGAACCCTATCGTCGCTCGCTTGACTCCATTGGAGGACTGCCGCAATGTTCGCACTGCAAAAAGAAGTTCCCTACGTGGCAATTATTGCGTCGACATGTTGAAGGCAACTACTGTCATGTTCGACACTCTTTCTTGCCGCAACCGCCTGCAGCACCTGAGCAGCCAGAGCAGCCAGTACAGACTACACCACCGGTGTTTGCAGATGCTTCCATACAGATTCTTGTAGCCAAGCATGCTGATAATGCCGTCTTTCACATCCCTAACAGGTACCTGTATCGACAGCACTGCCTGGTCTGTGGACAGTGGGTTGCCTCCTCTAAGGTCATGAAGCTCCACTATCAACATAGTCACCCTGACCTTTACCAGCAATACCACTCCACGACACAGGATCTCTGTGCCAAGTATACGGGTTGTGGCACTCCATGCTTGTACTGTGCGGCTTCTGTCGCTATACCTAGACTGCACAAACTTGCTTGCACTACTTTGTGGCAGTTTTGCATCAACCTCTCTGCTGCCCATGACGATGGCGGATCACGAAATCCGGGAGGTCTTCGGGAACCTGGCTCAGAACAGCCTTCACAGCTTCGGGGAAGCTCTGTTTGGTGCCGAGAATCCAGTCCCAGGGGCAGAACTGCCACCCAAGGCACCGAAGCTCGAGCTTACATCAGGCAAGCGCCAAAGACCCTCCGACAGTGCAGGCTCTCATGGCTCCCAAGGTCAGGGGAGCCAAAAAGGAAGGGGCAAGGGCAACAAGCAGCAGCCCCAGCTTCAGGCTCTGGTTCATGCGATGGGGCGCTTGATCATAAGGCAGGAGACGCAACTGCAGATCCTCAAGCAGAATTCTGCGTGGACACTCTACTTGAAGCCGGGCCCCTCAGGCCCAGTGAGCCTCCTCCACCAGACTGCGGAGAAGTACCGGGAGGAAGCCAAAACCAAATTCATGGAGGTCCCGGTGCGAGCGATTCTGCTTCACACATTGTTCCAGGCCTTGATGGGCTCTCTACAAGGAATCAGCAGCAGTTCGGAGAAACAGCAAATCCTGAAGGACAAAGGCTGGCTCAACTCAGAGGGCAACTGGAACTATCAGAAGTGGGACGGGGAGCAGCAGGTGCTGGTGATAGACGAGGCGCGGACACCGGTGGGCCACCAGGAGCTGATCGGCAAAGTCGGTCAACTCTCAGAAATCGTTCTGAGCAAGGATGTCATTCACAGGTTCAATGCGACGCATTCTTTGTCGCCAGCCAAGACGGGAACAAGCACCTTTCTTCTCGAAGTGGGACTGAGGGCAGCTGGCGTGGAGACTGCATGGGCCACCCTGGAGATGATCTCAGGCCTTTCGGCACTCCAGGTGATCGGACTTCAAGTCCGTCGAGAGGGCCTCCGCCGTGGGGGCCTTGCCAACGAGGTTCAGAGGCTTATGACTGCCTCTGCAGGCTGGTCCTGCATAATCCTTCGAACCAGTGTTACCTGAATGCCTTTGCCTACATGTACTTATGGTGTCACTGTCGATTGGAGGCTCCTGAATATCAGCTTTTTGGCACCAAGATCCAGGCCTGGCGAGATGTACTTTACACAACCCAGCGGCCACTCACCATCAGCAGGCTGCCATCTTGGCGAAGCCTGCTGAAAGGATGGAGGCAGCCTGCCTCCCAACATGATGTCGCGGATTTTATGGTGCATGTTCTTCATATCCTGGATCCACCACAGCTGCAGGCCACTTGGGAGGCACGATGGGAAACTGAGCAGGGTATTGTCTGTCAGGACCGCGGCCGGCTCTCCTGCCCTATTGTATTGCCAATCCATACAGCGCATCAAACATTGCAGGACTGCATCAACGACTGGAGTCTACAAGCCAGGCTACACGCACTTGCAACAGCGGCCAATGTTTTCTTCATACAATTGGCAAGGTACCGCTGCCGGGGAACCTTGACGTTCAAGGATCGTCAAGCTTTGGCCATCCCGACCGAAGTTACCATTCCCATTTTCGGCAAAGACCTTCGTACCTTCAAAGCTGTGTACTCCATTGTGGCGGTCATCATGCATCATGGAGCTCATACAAGTACTGGACATTATACCACAATTCTCTGTGATGGCAGGGGAAAGTTCTGGGAAACAGATGACGGTCGTCAGGCTCAACTCAGCGCGAGTTTGTCTGACAATGCCTGCACTGATGGGTATCTCTTTGCTTTGATGCGCAGGCACTGACCACCTTCCTCTGTCATTGGGGCGACATTCTTATGATGTCATGCTGGCTCCATGAGCTAGCCACTTTTGCTGGGTAGGACAAGGCCCGCTGGCATTAGTGCCGGGGCACACAGGCTCCCAAATGGGAGTGCGCCACACAGGCGCCAGCAAATACTGCTGCTTTTTTGGGACGCTTAGCGAAGTTCTTCGCTGCGAGGGAAGAAGAAAAAAGTAGTAGTAGTAGGAGGAGGAGGAGGAGGAGGAGTAGGAGGAGGAGGAGGAGGAGTACTACTACTACTGCTACTGCTGCTGCTGCTGCTGCTGCTACTACTACTACTACTACTGCTACTACTACTACTACTACTGCTACTAGTTCCTGCATGAACCTCAAGGATAACTTGGCAAAAAACGCACGAGTTGCAAAACAGCATCGTCCAAACCATACACGTGCGAACCTTCGAAAACACTGGCAGGCGTGTCACTTTTGTTACCACAAGAGTGTGCGCATGCTTTCAAAGCACGAAAAAAAGACACATCCGTAAAACGCATTTATCATTAAGAATGCTGGTATTCGTGGGATAAATGCAGTATTTGGCGTGCAAAATCCACGGGGCCGCCAGCGGCGGCGTGACCTTGTTTGAGGGTTCGCGGTTCGCCTACAGGTCTTTCGAAGTTAGGAGCTATCGTCGCCAGTGCAAGAAGGCTTCCGGCCTCGTAGCATTACTCGTTTTGGGCGCAGGGCCCGTACCCAGCGTTCGCAAAAAGGGGGGGGATCGTTCTGTCCGTGTTGGGATAGAGGGCGAGCCAAAGCCCTGAGCTAGGCAACGTGCGCATCGTCCACAAGCGGGGCCAGAACAGAATAAAAGCCACATTTATCAAACGCATTCGAACTTTGTGCACTGTGTTGTACCGTTTTTCAATGCCAGGGCCGTATGTACAAGGAGGTCAGGCAAAAGAACTGGTGTGAACTGGGACTTCAAAGTGCTCTGAGGCCTTGGCTGCGATGGCCGGTTGCTTTCAGGCCGTCGCCTGCAGCAAGCCCTGCGCGTGGACTACCTCATTGTGGCCTGGAGAAATGATGCGGAGTGATGTTGTGGTAGATTCTACGACGGCTTCAAAAGCAACATGATCGTCTCAAAACCTTGCGTTCTGCAAACGTTCTGCAAACGTTTTTTGTCATGCCAGGAATGGGAAATCGCATTTGACGCGCGCTGTTGTCAGTCGTTTATGCAGGTTTGCTGCACGAATGCAAGTCTCTCAAAAGCGATCGGGAGAGTGTCTCTGTGTATGTGTGTACATGTGTTCATGTGTGTACCGAGTCTGGAACATATGTGCACACAGAATTCACATCACTTATGGCACTGGCATGGTCCTCGAGGCCGGAATTTCCCAAGCCCCTGCTGTGATCAGCCAAGGTCTTTCCAACATCACTTGGTCTAGAAGCAGCCATCGTGCTTGCGGAGACCAGCCAAAAGGGATTGGAGACGGTCTCGGTAGAGGCAACCTCCACATGGCTGAAGGAAGAAGTCGCTCAGGTGGAGGCTTTGCAAAGCTTGGAGGTTGCCGTGGCAACCAAAAGTGTCGCTCTAAGCTTATCATCCGAAGCACAGCAGTTAATGCCGGAAAGCACTGCCGATGGCATGGCGATTCGGGTCGTCGTCGGGTCCGTCGCGATTCTCTTTCCGGCCTGCCTCCTCGTGCTCTCTTGGAGGTGTGGGAAGCGGCTGGTGCGAAGTGCAGCTATTTCGCAATCTGCTGACTTCAAACTGGCCGTGGAGGTTTACCCGGAAGTCGACATCCAGGATATCCGACGGTCAAGCCTTATGGACGACGAAGACTTCCGGTTGTCTGGAGGTGTGGAAGAGACTCCTAATCAGGATCTTGAGTGTCCGGCATTGGCAATAAAACCAAAGCGCTTGGTGCCAAAAGGCCGCGTCGCGAAGAAAGCCTTGGCTGTAGCAGTCCTGGCAGAGACGGCCAATGAAAAGACAAAGGGGCAGAAAGCCAAGCGCCTGGTCCCCAAGCAAAGGAAGGCCAAGAAGCAGCCAGAAGCCATTGCCGATGCCACTGAGCCGAGTGAGATCCAGATCAGCTTCGAGCCAGCATCCCAGAGCGAAATTTCCAGGTTCGATGACGACAACCTGCTGGAGCCGCCCTCTTCCTGGCTGACCGACGAGGAGGAGGAGGAGACGGAGGAGATGGCCATTTCCGGTGCGCTGGACTTGCAGCCGTCGCCCTTGGAGTCGGAGAGAGAGGTAAGTACCAGAGTTAATGCCGAGTCAGCGCCGCCGAAGCCCAAGAAGGTGAGAAAGCGAGCTGTGGCCAGAAAAGCAAAGAAAGCTGCAGCCGCAGAGGAGGCACTCTTTGAGGGATCGGAGGACGAGGTGGTGTCGGCACCATCTTTGCCGTGGGAAGAGTTCAAGGATTCTTCCGTTAATGCCCGCGCTCAGGTCGTGGCCAACAAAGATGACCCCCATGAAACATGGTAAGGTCGTCCGGGCGTTGCCTGAGACTTTCGGTGGAAGAGTTTCTCTAGAATTTGGGTACAAAAGATGTCATGATGTAGAGGGAGATGCAGTCCGACTTGCGGAGAAACTTTGAAATTCGAGCCGCTCGGCTGCTTGATGGCGAGCTAGACATGGTAGGAACATAGGATGGCCCTCATCGAGCAGTTGAGCTGCCCAGCCCGTACTCATGTACACATTAAGATTTATGCGACACCGCTTGTGCGATTTGCTGACAAATATTGGGCGCTTGCATGACTTTGGCCGTGAAGACTCTTGCCGTCCCAGTTTTTGTTTTCGAACAACAGCTCAACTCGGATTTCGCTGGCACAAGTCGTGGCTTCCTTGGCCTTCAGCTCCGACATAAGGAGGGAAAGTGTGTATAGCTTCTCTAGCTCCTGCTTCGATTTCACAGTTTGCAAAGTCTTGCTGTTCTTACTGGGGAGGATCGCATAGGCACACTGAGCGTTGCATCAGAGACATGGCGCCCGGCGCATGGATGTCACGCGCACCTGCCCCATATGTACGTCATATGTACGTGCTGGCTCTTCGTCTTCGTTTCATGAATCCCACGCCAATGGGCAGCTGCCGGCTGAGGCAGCACTACACTCAGAGCAGTCGCCTTCATCCTCGGGGAGGATCCGGCAGGCGAAGTTGTCGAAGGCCCGGTGCAGCAGAGCAATTGTGCCAATTTGCGCCGGCAGGTTCCGAGCCGGAGGGTCTCACACTGCGCGAAAGTGCTGCCCAGGCCCGGGCTCCGTGAGCGAAGACGGAGAGCCTCATCTGCTGAAGCTTTCTTTAGGTACGTGCGGCTGCAGCTGCCGGTCGTGAGGCGGACGTGGCGGCGGCCGTCTTCCGGCTAGCCCAGCAGAGCCTGGTGCCTCCCTTCAGTGCGGATTCAGCAGAGGCGAGACGTTGTTAGCTTCACCCACACCTTCGATCTCGGTTTCTGCAAGTTCGCTGCCGCCGCATGCGCTGCTGTGGCTGGTTTGTCTGAACCGGATCTACTTGGAAAGGCCGCAGTGGTTTAGTAGTGCCTTGCCAGCCTGTTACCGGCATGTTTCGGCTCTTCGGGAATGATAGGAGATCGGGCGCTCTCACATCTTGCGAGTGCTGGAGGAAAGAGGGACCAATTGGATCTCTGTTTGCTCTGCAATCTGGTGAAGCTTTGATGGGTGTTGCACACGAGTTGGTTGAGGCTGCACCTGGACCTACCCGCCTACTCAGCCCTTGTGAGTCAGGGCACATCAGACCACGTCAGGGCACGCAGTCCTCTGTATCCCCTGAACTCGCACTGTCTTGCGCCATTTAGGTTGGTTTTGGTGTAGGCTCGCGGAGGAAACAAAGCCTGTTCTTGAGGACGAAACCGGAGAACGATGGGAAGGGATGCCGGAAGACGGAGGGCGGGCGACATCCGACATAGTTCAATCTGGGGGCGGGATGAGTGTTCCAGGATGAAAGTTGCTCCAATCATGTGCTCGGTCTCGCAATCTCATTGGACAAGCTAAATCGGCAGGGCAAGACGGCAGAAGGCAGAAAATCATCCAGTGTTTCAAGTCTTACAGGTCACGGAGCTGCACCATTTCTTGCAGGAACTGGCCAGACATGTTGAGACGTACCAGCCGTTCGTCTTCAGCTTCTTGTCGCGGACGGGGTACGGCCGGATCGCAGGCAGAAGTGCTTGCGAAGCCATGGCTCTAGGGAAGAGCGTCTTATGTGGTTCTAGGTCTCGACGAGGTCGCCCGGCGGATGCAGGCGGGGAGGTAGCTGGCAGTCTGACCATAACTGGAACGACTCCGCAATGCTCCGGAACTCTCAGGCCGCTCTCTCTTCCAGCTCTGTTTGGCTTCTTGCAGCCTTTTGCCGAGCAGTTGGGTTTCGCCCTTCGGCGTATTAGGCTTGCGAGTGCTGAGCTTGCGGCTTGCCGTTTTGCCCTGGCATCGCCCAAGGCTGCTTCTCTTCAGAGATTCTTTGGGAATGGGCAAACGGCGATCCGCTGTTCATAGGGCTCCTGGTCCGAAACACCCTGACGCTGGAAGCGTTGCTTGCCCGAAGTTGTGTCAGTGAGAGACACTTTGCCTGATGTGGACACAGCCGAGGCTTTCTCTGCCCGAGACACCGCTTCAGAGCCTGCTGATTCCAAAGGATTTGAAGGCTCTGCAGACGGCGGTTCTCCAGGCCTTCCTTGGACTCACCCGCCCCGCACTCTCAGAGCTGAGAGCTGAGAGCCGCGCCGATGCTGAATGCTTCACAGCTCGCTGAGGACCTGACATCGCCTTTGCGGAGGTGATTCCGAGGCGTGTGGAGCCTCATGGAACGCTCGAGGCCCTCTGCAAAGTAGCCCCTGCAAGTCTTCACCGTGCTTGGCTGTCAGCATGTTCATGACCCATCGTCGCTGTCGGCGCCAGGGGTGAGATTGATCATCCACCAGCCGATTGGCTTTGATTTCCAAGACAGGTCTCAACTTTCCAAGGAATTCTGGCCTCCACAAGATCCCCGAAAGCTTGACACACAACCTTTCAGAACGCAGCCTCCGGACACGACGATGTCGCAAGTTTTTTTGAGAAACCACGGCGCGAAGTAGAGCACAATACAATACTTGGAGAAACCACTGCGCGAAGTAGAGCATAATACAATACAGGCGATCAACATGAACAACAAGTTCAGTCGAGCAAGAGTACGCAAGAGGAGTACGAGTCTATTCGAGGTGGCGAATTGACAGACGCCGTGCGCGGCAAGTGGCAGGCTCTGCAGCAACAGCAACCTTGCTGCTCGTGCACGCCCTGCCCCACACGCGCCTCAGCCTCCGCCTGCTCCTCCACCCCTTACGGATGGTTGTGCTCTTGCATGTAACGGTTGTGCAAGTCGGCGTCACCCGAAGCCCCAAGAACACCTGCTGCATGTGATTCCATACTTGTGACTTATTTGCGTATTTGAGCCGCATATATCAACTGTGGCTAGCCGGAAGGTGCCAGCACCCGCTCTTCAGTTTGCGCGTCACTGGTCGCGCTTGGCAGTCGCAACCACAGAGACGGGACTCGTTCCTCTGCTTCTCACCGCAACAGAAGGTGGGACGTTCTGCTGGGGAGAGCTTGAGTTCACAGTCAGCCGGTGCCAGGTGCTGTGTATGAAACAAAATTGCTGTTGTCAGCATTTTTGGGAAGATTGCTGAATGCGGCCTTGCAGGACCTGGCCTTTGCCGCTTGTGATCATACAGACAAGATGCTTGTGCCCAGGATCCAGGGGTCCACGAAGGCGGCGAAGAATTACTCCAGGCCTTCGATTTAGCAGACATCCACTCGAAACCTGCTCTGTCACACTCAGGCATGCCATGTCGCCGCAGCTCATCTCCGTGATGTCTTGAATCACGTCTGCCATGCGGACAGGCTTTCCCGCAACACTCACTTGCAATCACCTGCTGCAGTTACCTCCATGTCAAGAGAGCAAGAAACGCACGTTCCCGCAGACGGGGTGTTTGGGTTACTCCACCAGAGCGGCAAAGCCTACTAGCAAAGCTGGCCGACAGGTGGGATGATGGTTGTGAATGTATCGCGGCACGCCATGAAAGCACCATCTGGACATGGGTCAGGAGTGCCGAGTTGTATACAAAGCAACACTGCCAAACAAACTCCGAACGTGGGGTTTGTATTGTCTTCGTGGCCCTGATTTCGTTACTTATGTTGTCGGTCTCATCCTCACCTCTGCTGCCAACTGTCAAAAGGATCGTCCATAAGTTTTCGTTACACAATGTTGGAGTGCCGCGATCCTCGTGACGCCTAACGGGTTTGAAGTGTCGCGTCAACTACATTGTGGCCCCCGTGAATGTGTTCACGGAAGCGGTGTCCAGCATCACTGAAGTGCAGGCGTTGATGATATTGCCAGCTTGCGACTGTCGCTATGCAATGCATATGGCTCAAGTCAACCGTGTGCTGTGAGAAGTGGGGAGTCGTTCATCAATAACTCACTGCAACATAAGAAGCTGTAACAAGAACCCATTAGCTTCAAACTAGCTTCTGCCAGCTTCGGAAGGGTTAATAACTTCTTGCAATGCCGTCGGGGCGATATGTGGTACATGGTTCCTATCTCCTCCGTGCTTTGGAGGAATGGGCATGTCGCACCTGGCAGTTAAGCTGAACATCCCGTTTTGAAACTCCCGTCTGCCATTTGTGGAATTTGTGGATGTTGTGCTGAGCCAGTGCAGGTCCCGGCACCTAATTACTAACTAAATCAAACCGCCGTCGTCCGCCTCTGCCGACTCGGGCATGGCCGGAGAAGGAAGGATGGGGCAGAAGGGGCGGGCTGGGGCAGGGGGTTGTGTCTGCCGGCGGACACACGAAATCCGTGGAGGACACGAAATTGCACCGTCGTGCCTTGGGGGCGCGTCAATGGCTTCACAGGCAGACGGGGACCGGTACCTTCGGCAGACAGACATCTGACGGATGTGCGGCAGACGCCGACGAGGATGTGCCAAAAGCATTTCAGACTGGCCAGGCACAGGGCTTGTTCTGCTTCTTTCCAGTTTGTTTTTCGAGCTAGGACAAAGGCTCGAGTTCACGTTCAGTGTCAGATGTCAGCCGCGCTGCACCTTTAAGCCTGATGCCATGCGGGAACCAAGCCAGAAAGATGCACGACGTGATCGGTTGCACACCGGTGCGCTTGGACGATGCAGGACCTCAGCGGCGAGAACCATGGCCAGATTGGAAAGGACATGCTGGGGAAGGCGGGGCACTTGTCTCTCCTAGTCCATGTTCATGCGTGCCTGAGCTTCTTACCTAAACCTCTGGGAGGTATTTCGAAGACTGGATGCATCTTGGACAGACGAGCACACGCAGCTAATGCTTGACGCGGCTGGTCTGGCAGGTGCGGCGAGCATCTCAGGTTAACGGTAGGACATGACTCATCAGAACCCTGGAGTGCTGGGAGGTGCACATATAGACTGCTGCGATCTTCTGTCATGGCTTTTCGGACCTGAGAAGAGCCCCTCAGCCGCATCAACGCATTCTGCTAACAGCGCCAAGGGCCTCGGAACTGCTTTGGTACCAAGGTATCAATTTACATCCCCTCAAGAATCGGTCACCGTTGCAGAGGGCAGCTTTTCTTGCCGAGCAATGGGAGTCTTGGCCGGTGGCTAGTGCTTTACCTTGTGTGTTGCACTTCGAGCCCGTTTCAGAGAATATGCGGCTGGAGGAACCATTCCTGGCTGTTGTGCGTGGGCATCTCCACAGCACCATTGCTCGTGCCTTCGGCGAACACCATGAACTGAATATCTTTGGTCGTTTCATCCTGGCTGATGCTTCATGGGAGATCTTTTGCCTGCCGGCTTGCAACAAAAGGTGCTAAAGCCGGGTTCTCGCTTCATGAGATCATGCCGTCGCATGAAACACTCGCCTCGCTGACGGAACGCTGCCAAGCCCTGACAGAAGCTTGGCACGGGCGCGTTCCTTGCTTCAACTTAGCCTTCCGGGCTTGAGGCTTCCACTTGAGACGGTCTCGGCAGGGGATCCCCATCCCGTGCTCGAGGCGAACATTGGCATGCTGTACGAGCTGTTCATGGACATGGCAGAGCACGACGGCAGCTTGCCTGTACTTGCGTGTGCTCATGGTATGCAAGTGTTGCTGCCGTTGTGTCCGTGTCGGACTTTTTGTCGAAGCTCTCTCTGCCCTAGTGGCTGGTCCTCCTTGCGCATATTCCGCTTCCGCCTTTGGGCCTTAGACATGTTCTCCCGACTATGATGCTCGAGAGCAGAAGCCGAGGACATAGTCCATACCTCTTCCGCGACATCCCGCAGCAGCTGGGACAGCAGAGACTCAGGTCATGGCCCTGAGGAGCACGCAGAGGGACCATGCGAATCAAAAGAATGGACGTCAGGATGGAAGCTGTATAAGGATGTGTCTTGCTTCTCAAGCGGAGCTAAGTCTGTGCGAAGATCAGAATTCGAATCAGCTGACAGCGCGGGACGGGGCACATGTAACATTGCAAGTGCGGCGGGTCGCCCTGCCAAACAACGCAGAGATGCTACGAAGTCTAGGTGCTCAGTAGCTGAAGATAGCATGAAAAGGTAAGCCGCTTTGCAACTAAGGGTGCAGTGCGCTTGTTTTTGTTGGTGTTGTGGCTTCTCAGGTCCAGGTCGGTGGATGGCTACGTGCGGCTGCTCGATGGCCAGGCAAGAACATCAATACAACCAGACACAAAGAACATTGAGGGCAACCTCTGAACAACACAGTTGAAAGCGAGAGGCGACACGGAGTACTTTTAGCATGGAAAGCCACCATTCAGCGTTCAATTACGCGATTCTCACCCGCTGGACAAGTGATGCTGCACCTGAAGGACGGCATATAAGAAAGGGTCGCTCGCCCGGTAGCTGCACGGGTCAAGATTACAGCCTCTGACAGGCACGACAGCAGCTCTACCGACATGGTTCGAAAAGAATGGGGCTTTCGGAAGCGGCTGCCGACCCAATCCCACTAGTGGGGAGGCCCTGTTGGCCGCCTGTGGGTGCTGATGGCAATGCCAGACATGCTGAATTTCTTCGTTTTTGTGTGTTGCGCAGGATTCAGCAGACGGCTGGGGAATCTCCAATCGACAATCTGCAACTGCCCAACCTCATGAATCGGAATGAAGCACTGCTCCTGACGACGGGGCATCGAAGCCCGGATAAACTTGATCGGCCGTTTTGATTTAGGCTCGCAGACTAGCAGAAGCCTTGCACCTGCTTGTGCACATAGCCGCGAGGCATCCAACAGTTTCTGGTACGTGTGCTGCGCTGGAAGCAGCACCGGATCCTCAAGATGCTGTTTCCGGATTCAGATGCCGTCGCAGATGTCAGCGCAGCTTGCCTCTTGAATGTGGCGGGCCGCAGAGGCGGCACGATGCGACTGCTCTCCAAAATCTTGATGCCGAGGTAGTAAAAGCCAAAGCTTGGGATCTGGATTTGGGTGCGACAAGCAGCATTGTTGGCGTAGCAAATGATTTCAAGACGAAGCCTGGAAGTCAAGGTCAGGAGGAGCCATCGTTGGCGCTCTCAATGCTGATTCGGCATGGTTGCCTGGTGGAGTCCTATGGACAGGCAGACTATGGCAGACTTGTGTTGGAGTCCAATGCAAGACAAGCTTTCAGTTTCTCTGAAGCAGGTGCCTTTCGACACCCGGCATGCTGCGGAGAAGTTCATCGCAGTTTCTTGTCCGTGTGATTGACTTGACATGCTAGGGGCTATCGTTTCGTAAGTTTCAACCTGATCCGGGGCCTAGGGGAAGTCGAGAGATTTCTCGGAGTTGTGTGGCCAGGAAAGTCTTTCGAAGATTCACGCGGAACGTGATGAAGAACTTCATAATTTTCTCGAGCATGCATCCAAGCACCCAGGATGTTAACGATGATTTGTGTGTGTGTGTGTGTCAGAAATGTCAGCTGATGTGTCATGCTGGGCAGGACGACCCTTCAAGGCCGCTGTCGGATCTTTGCAGAGGGGACAGCGGCACATTGCCCCATGCAAGGCCAGCCAAGTCGAGCACAAGGCCATGCTCCTGCGTTCGATGGCGAGTCGATCTGTTCGCTTGGTGTGGCGGTCTGTGGTCGAAAGCTTTTGCCAGCATCGATACCTCACCGTGGCTTGGTGCAGACACTTTAGGCAGACCGTGAGGGGTGGCAAGGCGCATAGCTGAGCCTCGCACAAAAGCATGTGTGTGTGTGTGTGTCTGTGTGTGTGTGTCTGTGTGTGTGTCTGTGTTTGTGCTTAGATCGCTTGGACACGACGGGCGCCTCTTTTCTATTTGCCGGATGGGGCACAGGAGTTTGAGGTACTACGTGCGCCAGGTGCGAGAGTCGACACATGCAGTTGTCAATGCTCGAGATCCCAAGCGTTTCCCTGAAGGTTCCGAGGAACTGACACGCTTTCGAAAGAATGTTTTCGCTTACGGTCCCTCGCACGCTTTGGGCCAAAGCGGTGGAGGCCAAGAAGTCAATAGTTAGTTGAGCTCACAGAGACTGCGGCGCGTGCGGTGCCAACTCTCGTGGAGCATGTGGTACAGGCTGGATTGATGGGCAGCGCTGGCAACCTGGATCCCTCATGTACGAGCTGGGACCACTCCTGTGTGACTTGGCTTGTGCTGCTGCTGGAGTTTCGCTTATCCACGTATCAATATGCAGTTGCTTTTGTATGTGTACGTACATAAGAGCAGCATAGGTGTAGATTTTATCGTAAAATGCCGTTGCAGCAAACGCTTTCAAACTTACATTTGTTAATACATGACTTTCGACGGTCTGTTTGTTTGACCAGGCTCGGGGGAAACAGGCCTCGAATATTGTAGCTGCAAGTGTTGCGTAGCGAGTGGTGTGCCAAAAGCCGAGCAGCTGAAAACCTTACTTGTCGCTTGAGAAATCACGAGGTGTTGACGAGAACGCAAAACTCCCGAACCACTACCTGACAGACATCGTCCTCGGCTGAGTTCATGCGTCAAGGCGTTGAGCATGTCACTCTGCATTTTGAAGCATCTCGAGAAGTGTTATACGGCCAGCTCCAACATTGAGCGGCAGTTGCAATCTTGTTTTGTCTGGCTCTGAACACATTCGTTGCGGTCTATGGGCTGCTTCAGTTGGTTGCTGAGGAAAAGATCATTCGTGACTGTATGGCTCTGTGCCCAGACGGAGGAACGTCAGATGCGTTGCCAGGCCTGGTGCTCCGATCACCTCGGTCCCAGTGACGTGCGACTCTGACTGTTCCGTCTCTGATCCAGGCGAGGCGATGCACGACACAGGACAAAACCCTGTTGTCGCGTCTTCGATCGGACAGACGCAGCACACTCAAGTGTCGAAGGTGGCATCTTACCAGTTTGCATGTGCTGAATGATCGACAACAGCGCGTCAAGTAAGTGTCGCAGAATCGTGCAGTGGAAGGCGTCCGCAGAGGAATTCCCCCTGGTGATGGAGAAAAGCTCGCCACGGTGGTGCTCGCAGATGGACGCGTTCATTGACATCGTCCAGGCAGAGCCTGCGATTGCAGAGATGAGCACGGTGCAATTCACTTTTGGTGTCTGCCGCACGATCAGGTTGGCACACACGAGGATGCGTTCTTTGTCAGCGGACGCAGCAGGCAACCAAAAGAGATTTCTTGTGTTGGCATTGAGATCGGCTTGCACCCAGGCAGCCGGACACGCAGCGCTTTTTGGAGTTCTTTGTGGAACTCCGGTGTCGGTTCCTGCGCGCCTTTGGGAGAAGCATTGACTTCAGCTGCAGCTGCCATGCATCGGACATTCAGATGAACTTACAGAAAGCAGACACCTCATGGCCTCACGAGCCCAATGCTTTGTGTGAGCTGCTGGAAGTAGTGCTCATGCCTTTGGAGGAAGATGGGGACTTCATCTTTATAATGGCGCCAGTGGCTTGCATGAAGAAGGTGCGTGTTCCCAAAGGTCAGGGCTGCCTGGGCCGGGCCCTGAGCCTCACTGCCAGCTACGCCTTTAACGTGTCTCTGTACTGCCGTTGGTGTTTTCGCTGCGGCGAGGTTTGGACTTTGACTTTGAGAACCCAGACCTCGGTGAACGTGTAACTCAGCACAAAGACCTGCCCATCGCGACCGTTGATGCATCCCAAGGGAAAGGACCCACAGTTTGCACTTGCGGAAGTTGCTGCAGCGAGCGAAGCGAAGCGTAGCGGAGCGAGGCGCCTCGAACCGTTACGATGCTAGGAAACTTCCTCGTGAATACTTCGGAGCACTGGAACATGGCACTCGAGGGGCGTCCAATCCTAGTTCGCCTGCCACTTCGACTGAAGAAATGCGTCCGAGTATTTTCTTGCCTTAGCTTCGTGAAGCTCAGCTCAGGTATGACTTCAACCGCAAGCCGGGTTCACGCTTAATAGCACAGCAGATGGTTGATGATTTATTCGGACGGCCATAGGACTTGCCAGGCGAAGCCGCGCAGCCATGGCCGTTACGGTGACGCGCCCTAAGGGCTTAAGCACCACCATTCGACCCGCTGTGATACTCTGATGTGTAAAGTGTACCGACCTCGCAAACCTGAAAGAGTCTAAAAGCGTGATTGACAAAGGACCATCAGCACTCCGTAAGCAATTTTCAGTGGCCGGAGTTTCGCGGACCGTTCGGGTCAGGTGTGAGACTCCTCGCCCGACATCAGCCCAAGTCTAGCTTGTGCTGAGACGTGCCGCCGTGCCACCTTAGCTGGCCGTGGGCTTGATAGGACCGGTGTGCGCAGGCGCCCGAAGTCAAGGAACCTGCGAACATCTGCGAACACGGCATGAGGCAGCGGATGCATGGGATGTTTTTGATAATATTCCCACGAGCGCAGGCGCACACTGGATAGCTTAGCTGTTTGACTGCAATGTGATGCACCTCAAAGGAGGGCATCGCGAGTTTGAGTATTTTCGAAGTTGTCGTCGGACTGCCCAAGAGTGGCCGGATGCAGTGGATGCTTGACTGTTCTATGCCGATCCTTCCTGAGAAGCGCAAAGCTTCCAATTGGCTGCGTGCGGCGATCCGGCCTGCATGCCAGCCTTATAGCTGTGTCGGACCGCATGCTGGTCACGCTTCAGCGATATCCATGTACTCGCCAAGTTTGGTACAGTGCCGTACTGCGGAGCGGTGCAATCAAGGCATTTTCTCAAGATTCCACGTGCTGGGTGCCATTCGCGACTAGTTCTCCGTAGCCAGCAGACGAAAAACTGACAATTGCATGCGAGCGGATGACGATGGTCGCTGGGTCGGCTGTAGCTCTGCGAGGCTCTGGAAGATTTTGTGCGACACTTTGCTGGAGACTGGGTGCTCCGGCGGAATGTGGGAGTTTGTCTGCGCGATCGTCGCCCTTTCTTGCTTGAGGCTTGTGCGTAGCTTCCTGCGTGATTGCCGGCTCCCCAGACGAAGGCAGTAGGTATCAGAAGGTCCAGGGAAGGGCGGTCGGTGCTTTGAAGGCTCGGAGCTGGCCCTGGCCACGCCCGGGCAAAACGTGGCTGCTTTCTTGCGAACGGCAGCTCTGCAGGAGGACAGCTGCCGCTACGGCACTGTAGCGATGTGGCCGGCTAGCTATGAATTTGCGAGACCAGGTTTTGCAGTTAAACTCTGGCAGGAGGAGTGTGCATGCATGTACCCAGGATGTCAACGTCCAAGATGAAAGCCAACCTCTCTACTTGGGCTCGGGTGAGGCTGAACAAACCCTTTCCATATCGGCCTTCCATTGCACCAGCCACAGCGCAGGACTATCCTCATTTTCATTCGTGCTGTCAGTATTATCGTTTGACGGAGCGGCATCGACGACGGGAGCTGCATGGACTGGACCAGTACCAAACTGTTGCTGGAAGGGCTCGGACGATGGCCCTGGCCCTTGACATTCCTTGAAGACTTGGCTCAGGTTCTTTCGTTCTTGCTCATCTAGTCAGTCTAGTCTTCTCTTCAATTCTTGCTTGCCGTGCGCAATCGATCAGTACCGTTGTCGAAAGGCCCTAGACACGCGTATGTGTGAGTGTGCATCTCTGTGTGTGTGTGTGTGTTTGTGCATGTCTTCTGCAGCGTGTGTTTGGGTATTGCTGTCTTGCCATGCGCAGGACATAGACCTAGCTGCCATGCCGGTGCTCTGCTGCATCGCGGCCAACGCTCACCTGGTACCCTTACAGGCTGACAGAACAGGGCGAATGCGCCTACGATCCCAAGTCTTTGAAAAAAAAGGTCGCCGAGTTCACGACGCGCTTGCTGGAGCTTGATGACAAGGCTTGCGATGTGGTCTGAAAAGTCGACTCATCGGGCGAGGGTGCATGCTTTGTTTTGACAGGAGCAGTGCATTGTGGCCCGGGAGCTTGAAGGATGGAGGGGGCCAGTGGTGTCGGATACGAAGGCCAGTCGAACTGAAAGTTCTCGTCGTGTCGTCTTGTATGTTCGTGTCGCAATGCCGGTTTCGCGTCTGGCTTTGCAGCTCTGCTTCTGCGTGGGTGGAGCTGAGGACAGGGTATCCCGGTGCTCACGTCTCAGCAACAACAGCAGCAGCAACAGCCGAAACGGCCAAACAAGACTGCGGCTCCGCCCTTCGTAGGTGGTCAGGTAGAGGCAGGCTTCTTCCTGGTTCATCACGACGGTCACAGCAAACTTCAATCGTCCCCTTCGCAGGCATCTCATGTGGCTTTTCCGGAAAATCCAATGAAAGGAAGCAAAGCCAAGCATGTATGCGACAGTAAGCTGAACAGCTTAAGAGACAGTGCTGCGAAATGGGAGCACGTGCTGCGCAGGCTGCATGGTTGGCGCTGTTGCGTGCAGTCCCGGCACCTCCCGTGGATGCACCTCCAGCTCCACCACCCACGCCGCTGCCGCCGCAGACGCCTCAGCGGCGGGCGCTGGCCATGGGCGGTCTGGAGGCAAGGCATGCGGCTGGGGGGAAATCTCGGACATTGCGAACGCCGTTGTGCTCATGCATTTAGAGATCGTGGCAGTTGGACTGTGCCTTGTGCCATCCATGATCGATTGTGTTACCTCGTCACGGCGCGAATTGAATGCGATCTTCACAGCAAGTGTGTGTCCGCCCTTGCTAGGGCAGCTGTTGCTGGTTTTTCTGTTGTGGCGGTCGGTGCAAGGCGAAATCTTTAGTGCTTGCAATGCTGAGCAGAGGAGCTTTTCGTGGAAGCGCCGGCGAATATGCTTCTCGGCTTGGAAGGTGTCCGGGCGCTGCCCGTCCCAGCAAAATGCAAAGCAGCTCAGCCCCTAGATGCTAATTCCAGGTCCTGTGCGTTGGACGGCCTGCTTCTCACCGACCCTGTGATCTCTCCGCATGGACATGTCTTCGACCATGCCTCCCTGGCTGCTGCTCTGGCGCAGAAGCTTGGATGCTCTCAACTTGAACTCAACAGTTCAACCTTCGGATTCTTGCCGACTGCTGGTATGAACGTACTGTCCATGGCGGACCTGAGGAACGGTGGGCTCTGCCCGTTCACGGGTAACCCCCTCAGGGTGGACATGTGCATACCTGACGCGGACCTGCGCAGTCCGAGCCTTGCGCAAAGAGTGTTGTCGCAGACTGGTTCCTGTTTGTTACTTTCGATACTTGCCGGTGTCTGGAATGCGAAGGTTCTTGTTCCCGCCGCATCAAAAGCTGGGCTCGGGCCATGCTGCAGGGAACAGCTTCCGAGTGCTTAGATCAAAAGGCAAGCCAGTCGGGCAAGGCATATGCTTTTCAGAGTGAGAGAGAGTGCGAGAGAGAGCTTTGGCGCCGAAATCTGGGCTGAGAATATCCGAAAGCCTTGTGGGCTCGTCGAGTAGCACTGGCGGGGCGCTGTCCTCCCATGTTTTGGCCGTTGTGGGGTGAACTGTTCTTTACCGGCCATGGAGGCTGGACAGCCACAGCCCATGTCTAGTGCATGCTAAGAATCTATTGCGGCAGGATGAGGCCGAAAGGCAACGACAAGGGGTGCTTTCCTGAGAACTTTTGCTGCTATGAAATCCTGTCATTTCTTTGCGGGGCCTTCGTGTGCTTCAGATCAGGCTGCATCCCTGCGCAAGTTCTTACAGATGCAACAGGCCCGGTGGAGCTCTTCTGTCCAAAGCTTTCAAGGGAAACCAACCCGGGGAGAGCGGCCTTCACAGGCTGCAGGGTTGGCGGTTCCTGGAATGGAGATCATGGTCTTGGCCTTGCTTGTCAACTGAGCCCATAGCCGTAGATGCGCACTACATGCGAGCTGCCGCTGCCCAGAATTCGAGAGTTTCTAGACTCTGGACGGCAACATGCCTGTCTGTAGACATGTCTTCCGCTCCAATGGCCGCTTCAAAGAGTGCTTCCTTGGCTCTCAAAGCCCTGGCACGGCAAGCGCTGCTCATCTTCATTGGATGTGGGTGGTACTGTAGGGCAGAGGCGGCAAAGGATCTAGGACAAGGGGATTCGATTCAGCACATTCCATACCAATGGAATCCAAGCTGGTCGTTCACACCAGAACCTGCCAAAGAAAAAAGCAAGCAAGCGATTAAGCACGCAAGTGCTGTAATGAAAAAACTGTCCCTCTCCCTCTCTCTGTCTCTGTCTCAGTGTCTCTCTGCCTCTCTGTCTCTATGTCTCTGTCTCTCTCCCTCTCTCTCTTTCTCTCTCTGTCTCTCCCTCTCTCGCTCTCGCTCCAAGACCTTGTCGTGGGCCTTGTCTTTGTCTTCGGCACTTTGGGGTTCAGGCTAGTTGGGTTTGGCAGGAAGGTTCAGGTTCCAGGCCATGTTGCCACGCTCTTCACCTTCGGCATTCCTGTCCATGAGAACACATGTCAACAGTTCCTGATGAGTAGGTAATGTATATGTATGTACACATTATTTCATGCATTTATATTTACATGTTTGGATGTAAATGTAGAGAGAGAGTGAGAGAGAGCGAGAGAGAGAGAGAGAGAGAGAGAGAGAGAGAGAGAGGGCGCGCGGGCAGGGGGGTCTCCTCTCTGTCCATAACCCTGCCGAAAGAAAGAGAGAGAGAGAGAGAGAAAGAGAGAGAGACAAGAAAAAAGAGAGAGAAAGAGAGCGAGCCCACCCTATCGGATCGTATTATTAGCTGCACCTCAGTCGTCTTGTCAGGGGTAATGGGAGGAGAGAGCCCACGAGGCCCCATACCAGCCTTGCGAGCATGTTGGGGGTACAACACTACTCCACAGGGACTGTTCTCATTGTGCTTTATTGGTTGTGTGCTCTAGGGTCCTTTACTGAAGAAAGTGCCCCACACATGCAGCGGCTCCGCAGTGTAAAGCAGACTCGGGTGGGAAGGTTGCAGGCAGTGTTGCGCAAAGCCTCAGTTTGGTGACAGGCGAGGAGGCAGGTCAGGGGGTGACAGAACTTCCTGTAAATCTTGAATAATCTCTACAGGTGTACGCAAGACGGCCCGTGCATCCATCGCCAGCTATCCTGAAGCGGGACACGCTCACCACGGGGGTTAGGGGATTACACATGTTTCTGGAAGGAGTGGAGCTCCTTCAGATGCAACGGGGGCGGTCAATCTTTTCTTGTAATGCTCGATGGTGGTGTTGCAGGGGTCTCTTGCCTCATGTTGATCGCCTCCACTGCACAATACCGACCGTTGGATGGCCCGCAGATGACCCGGATGATGCCTTACGGTCACTTTTTAGGACGGGTGTTTTGGGGGACCGGGGGTTGAAAGGCACATCCGGAGGAATGCGTTGTACCCTCACCCCGAAAGGGGCCGCGAAGACGCACAGACGCTCGCCTAGGGGGTTGGCCTTCGGGCCGGGGTTTCCCTGCCAAACCCTAAGTAAGCAAGCAAGCAAAGAGAGCCAGAGCGAAAGATAGCTAGCTAGCTAGGTAGTAGATAGGTAGGTAGGCAAGTAGGTAGTAGATAGATACATAGGCACATAGCTAGATGACTAGGCTGGTATCGACACACATACACAAATACTGTAACTGTTGTGTTGCCTACTTTTTGGTTGCATAGGGCCTAGGCCTAGGGTGCATGTCGAGTCCTAATGCTTGCGCATTGTACGAAGTTGAATCAAAACTTTGCAGAAATTGTAAGAGAGATGAGATCCAGAGAGGCCTGCATGTACACACGGCTTGGGGGCCAAGGGCATAGTTTTGTGGCAACAGCTTGTTTCACGGCTGGTCAAGGCAACCCATGAAGACTGTGGAGTTGCTGACGAGCTTGTCTTTTGCCTCAGTTATCGCAGCCCACCTGCGCTGCGGATGTTCGCCAGTAAGACAGCGAGGCTGCGAGAACGCCTGGAAGTCAACGCCTTCCACCATGCCACTGTCTTGAGCGCCTATGCCAGGGCCGTCTGGTGGAAGGAGGCCGTTGTGGCTCGGCTTGAGATGGGATTTACGGGTTAGAAAAAACGCTCGAAGTTCGAAGCAAGGCGCTGCTGAGCTCATTGCCTGGCGACCATGCCCGGAAGCTGAGACGCGAGCCGGGAGGGCACAGAAAAGGGGGCGACCGGCCGAGGTCTGTGAGAACGCGACGCTGGCGGCCTGCAGCCGAGCCCTGGCCTGGGCGGCGCTTCTGCGGCTCTTGGAGAGAAGAAGCCTCCCCAAAGATGCAGCAAGCAGCCCGCCTGAAAGCCGCCTTCCGGTGGGTGCGGGTGGGAACGAAAGACTCAAAAAAGACATCCATGCCTGCCTTCGTGCGAAGGCCCTGGCAAAGCTCAATGGGTGTGCACCTGTTAACACCAACTCCGAACCCCAGTGAGGGCTTTCTGACCTTGCGGAACTGCTGTAAGTTTGACACCTCGCCGGCATTGCCCGAGACAGGACCAACCTCTTCCCTAAATCTTAAACCCTAAATCCACGCTTGGTTGATTGGTTGGTGAATGAGCTTGGAGCCCCCAGTCTCGTGCGAGGGCTCTTGATTTACCTGGTTATCTGTATTACTTGCCTTCTCGTATTCTTGGTTTGCCTTCGCACGTGGCTGAATAGCAGCTTAGCTATTCTGAGAGAGACTGAACTGCCGGAATGCGTGCCTGCTTGTGCGAGCGTGCGAGTCGAAATCCAAGAAATGCGAGAGTCCAAATCAAAGAAATGCCCGGTTGTAGATCTCCGCAGTGCGATCCCTGACAGTCTACTACAGTAGGCAGGAGACAAAAGCCTCAAAAAACGCCTTTCGACTGCTGTGACCAACGACGACATTTGCGATTACCACGACCATACTACCACGACTATGACTACCGCGGCTACAACGATGACCGTGACGACCACGACGATGACCACAACAACCACACCACGACAACTACAACAACCACAACAACCACAACAACCACAACAACCACAACAACCACAACAACCACAACGACCACCGCCACGACCGCAATGGCTAACACCACCACCATGACTACCACCAACGCTGACCAAAGCTCCTGCTGCTGCCTCCCGAAAAAAGGGTGAGCGACGGTAAAGATATTTGCTTTAAATCTCGTTTCACACTGCCCGGCCCTATGCCCTGGTCCTGGCACCAAGGTTTCCACACAATTATCACAGCACTCGGCAGAACTTCACGCTGGGCAGCCGCCTTCGAGCTTTTTCGATGCATGGCAGTCCGGAGGCACAAGTGACCTAGGATGTGCGTGGCACACATAATTCTGGGAATCGTGCCAGCAGAACTCCGGTGCATCGCATGCTGCCGCCTCTGCTTTTGCCTTCATCATCTTGACTTCATCGTCGACATGGCACTTTCTCGATCGTATTTTGAATTTTCCAACCTGCAGCCCTTCTTCCGGTTGAGGGGACCACTGCATGCATGCGTCATCCATGTGGTGGTACTCGCCCAACTTTGTGAGATGGAGTGCAAGCAGCTTCTCAGCGCAGTGGCCACCATGTGCACATCTGCAATCGTCTCCCGGCTAGGCAGCGGCCGACAGTTGTTTCCTACAACTCAGTGATGCGAAGCTGCGTGGACGGAGACCTGCCTAATTTGGTGACTAGCGGTGTTCAGCAACGCGGTCATTGGGTCACTGCCTCACTAGGACGGTTCTTGATGAAGTGTTGATCATGTTAGCATGGACGAAGGGCTTTTCGTGCTTCATCTTGCACGCGGGGGAAGGTGTTTGCAGCTTGCACTTTCTTGGGCGCGTAGCCGGCTCAAAATGTGACAGGAGGTCCGGAGACAGAGGTCAAAGACTGACCGGCACTGATCTGGGCTATCCTAGGCTGGACCAGGCCCTTGACTCAGGTGTCTCGGGTTTCCATGGAAGAGCCGGCGCCAGATGTCCGTGCAGAGCACGAGGGCGGCGAGGACACTGAGACGGAAGGGGAGGTGGATGAGGCGGAGGCGCCGGATCCTGAAGAGATGCGGGCGGCCCTGGGCGGCGTCGCCACGGGCTTGGCCGAGCAGCTCACGACGATCACCCAGGAGGTGAACAAGATTCGCGAGGAGCTTTACGGTGACAATGGCATCGGTGGCATCGCACAGGAGCTTGAGAAAATGAAAGCCGGAAGCCTCGGAAACCTCCTCGAGGACACAGACCTTCCTATCTCCGAAGGTGTGAGACAAAGGGCGAACGCAACGCAAGACACCAAGCCAAAGGGCGCGGGCCCGGGTCGAGGAGCTCCCTTCTCTCTCGAGCGCGAGCGGAAGCTCGAGGAGCTCAGGCGAAGGATTGAGGACCGGCACACACGAGAGAAAAAGCCCGAAGGGCTTGGCTTCATGGAGTGGATCGTGATCATCTTCGTGATGTTCGTGATCGCCTACACCGCACTGCCTTCATTCCGTGTACAGGTGAGACAAACATTTCAAGAGCTTGTTCTCGGTGAGGTGCCAGAGGCAGTGGAAGAGGTGCAAGACTTCGGTGCCATGGTAGAGGAAGACACAGACTCCTTCTTTTGAGCTGGTGCCTACTGGTTCCAATTTGCATGAACTTACGGATACCTTCGCCTCGAACGGGTAAAAGGCCGCGAGGGAAGCATGCTTTTGAATCAATATGGTCAGGGCGCTTTGCATCAAGCAGCGTGCGCAGCAGGAAAGAGCTGGCAGCTGTCACTGCTGCTGTACGCCGAGCTGCAGCAGGAGGGATGTCCCAACCAAGCCAGCATCCTGGCTGCCGTTAAGTCATGAGGCTATCGTGCGGTCATGAAGAGCCATTCAAGCCATGCAAGCGCGATTCTGCCACGCTGAGTTCTGCCCTCCTTGATGGGGGTGCGTGAAGCATTGCTTGCGGGTGCCTGCAGTTCTGCTTTGCCCTGGGGGTGATTTAGCAAGGTCACCACTTGTCCATCAGCGCCTGCAGCCTAGCTAGCCATTGGCAGGGTGCTGTTCCTTGGTCCAATCAGGGAGGATCGAAGCATGGCCGAGTGTGGACCCAACCATGCGTGCAGTCGAAGCTTTAGGTTTTCATTCTGGGTTCTATGCCAATGTACGGCTTCGATCGCACAGTCGTGGCTTTTGCAGCAGCAATGCACCTTGTCAAGACCTGCAGACAAAACAGCACACGATGCCCCGATGTTCATTTCTAAGGGGGGCTTGCGAGCGGGCATTTCGGTGGCGAAGAGGCTTGCAACTCCTAGGCCCCTCGTCCAGGACGAGCTTGTGGTTTGTGCGCAGGCATTCTCAGCAATCTATGTTTGTTATCTTGTGACGCTTCTGTCGCAGGCTGGCTTTCTGCATCAAGGCTGCAATTGGACGCCGTGGCTCTCAGCATCGGAATCGCCACAACGGGTCGATCCAGCAGGCCTGAAGACGCACTGGAGGGCTTTTGTTTGCATGACCTTGCGGCAGTTGGCTCGCGGATATGTGAAGGTGGCAGCTCTGCCTGCAGTTGCTCGAGGATGCACGGGAGGCTGTCCGACTGCGAGCGCAAGAGAAGCACTGTTTACCGTCAGCCGCGTTCTCCAGGCAGAGCTTCAAACAGACATCGTGTGTGCAAATGCTGCCATTACAGCCTGTGCGGTGCCTAGTCAAGCACGAAGAGCCTTAGTGAATCAGGGCGCTGTTCTACAAAAGGTGCTGCTGGAACTGCGTGGCAGCATGCCCTGGCCTTGATGGGGCATGGACCTTCGTTTCTTAGTTCGATACAGGCTCTAACCTGCAGATGAAGATGTCTCCAGCTTTTCAGAAATGTTCCTCAACGTCTGCACCCAGGTTTTCGAACCCAGACGGGATGACCTACGCTGCTGCCATCACTGCCCTCAGCAAAGGCACGCGGGATGCTTTGACCCCGTTTTATGAAGGAAGTCGGAACACTGCAGCGTTGCAGATCCCACTTGTCAGAGTCAGGTGGCTTATGGGCCCATGCGATCCGGTTGCTGCAGGGGGCAGCAAGACGGCCACATGCTTATCCGGCTTATCCTTGTGCTTCATGCATTGCCCACAAGTATGTCAGGAGGCTATACAGGTCGCTTCTTTCGGACCCCATCTGAATTTTGCTGTCGGCTAAATCAAGCCAGGGCGTTTTTTCAGTTACAGGATCTGCCTTTTCTCGCAGGTGATTTCGGGTGAGGGAAAGATCACTCCCAAGAGAAGGCTGATGCCCGGGAAAGACAAAACTGGCATCGTCTCGTCTTCGTCTTGAAACACCCACTTGCCGAAAGTCTGTGGCGAGTTCTGGCGCTACGAAGCTTCGATCCTTCGCAGCGTCCACGGGTTGCATGCCTACCCTGGCAAAAAGGGCGTGTGGAAGAAATGGGTCCGGGCAGTTGGAGACAAAAATAGCAAATTTGCAATTCGGATGACCGTGCAAGGATCGACATCTTCGGTTTCACTTCGGCCATCTCTGCTTGCGAGAGGGAAGGCCTCGGAAGCATGTGGAGCTCATGAAAATGTGTTTGTGGAGCTCTGCTGAAGCCTACATGTAGCTGCAAAGATACTATAGCGTGGAGGCGCGTGGGAAGTGGCTTTGAAGATCCTCAATGACATGAGCGCCACCGAGATTCGCCCAAGCGCTTTGACCTTCAAGGAGGCAGTGGCTTCACTTGGCAAGGCAAGCCGTCATGTGCGATTGGTTCTAGAGTCTCGAGCCGCACCCAGTCCCTTTTCAGCGAGATTCACTAAAATCTTTTTGGTAGAGGCGGTCAAATGGATGCATGCCCTGGAACTCCTGGTGAGCACATGGGGACAGTCCCATGCTCCTTCCGGCGCCCCGGTTAAAATTGTCAGTCTTCATGCAGCACATCGGGGGACTGAGCATCGAGGAGCCGGTGCAGCCGGGGCAGCTTCCATCATCTGCAAGGGGCGGACACGCCTCCATTTGCCTGCAGGTGCCTGTCAAGATGTGTGTCAGTTGCGGAGAAGCTGTCTTCTTTCCCTGCCCAGCAAGGCCTGCGAGACATCGAGGCTGAGGCGCTTTGTTCGAGACCGTGAGGTCCTGGTGAATCTGACGTGTGTTGCGATGCTCCAGGCACCGCCAAGGCGGGTCATGTACATGCACCTGCGCGAGCTCGAGGGGGCAGATGTGATTGATACCGGCCTGCATCGGAAAAGTGTTTTGAGAGCTGAGGTTGCGAATGACAATGAGAATTGCTCTCAAAAGCATTGGCTGTTCGGATCAGGACATTGACGAAATGGATTCGCTCTGGAAACCTGCCACAGTGCGAGAGCTCTTGGGAACCACGCGTCCTTGAGGATCGGGTCAGACTTCTAGAGAATTCTGTCGGAGCTGAGTGAGACAGCCTAGCTTGAGCGAGCAAAATCGCAGGCTGTCAGCAAAATTCCGAGTCTGTTGCTAGATTGTGGCCTGGTGCAGTGAATCTACGACTCCAATACAACCCCACAGAGTCCGACCGAGATCGCATCTCTATATGCATGCACGTAGCCTTGATACGAGTGTACGAGTGTATGAGTGTATGTATGTATGTATGTATGTATGCAGGTATGTAGGTAGGCAGGTAGGTAAGTAGGTAGGTAGGTGGGTAGGTAGGTCGGTAGACAGGTATGTATCCCTGCTTACTCTAAGCAATCATAACCCTAAGTTCGGTGAGCCGTGAGAGCTCACTGTCTGCATGCCCGCATACATGCATGCAGCCATACACATGCAGACTTGTACATGTTGATAAAAATCTTTCTCTCTTTATACATATTCATATATACCTATATGCATGCACACACACGCATATATGCATAATATATGTGCTCAATCATATATATATATATGTATATGTATATGTATATGTATATGTATATGTATATGTATATGTATATGTATATGTATATGTATAAGTGTGTCTGTGTGATTATG